AATAGTTTTGTTGATATAAATAATACTCATATTTATCACAATAACCATATTAAAAATTGATAAATTTATGAATTTAGAAACTATTAGATGTTTGTATAATTTGCAATTATTTAAATCATGTGATCTAATTTTTTCGGTTAAATGAAAATATTATTTTTCTATGAATTTTAGTCTATTAAATAAAAATTTACGGTTCAATGAGAAGCACAACCATTTTCCCCATTTTTATATCTGATGTGGGAATTTGACAAACATTGGTTTTTAATATGTTAAGTAACTTATGATCTTAAGTACACATTAAGCTGTCTTGGCATTTTTTAAAAAAATTATAATAAATCGGATCCTAAATACTATATGAGATTACTTTAATTATCTATTTATTGTTTACATATCTTGTTAAGATTAATTTAAGAAATCACTATCAATGGTATTGAAATATTTTAATAAATTAAAAATAATAAAAAAGAAAAACAAAAATCTTAAAAAATTAAAATACTTTTTATATAATTAATAGGATTATCTCGTTCCACAATAATTTAAACAACATTTTTTATCAAATTAAATTTGTTCTAAAGTTATTTCTATTATTCAATTTGATTGTTGGTTTAACTTAATAACCGAATTAAAACAAATCAAATGTTTAGTTTTAGATGACTATTAGATTAGGCTTCATGCTCTTACCATTCTTCATCAATTTGTTTTTTTATTGTGTTTCTATGGATCTAAATTCACTTTCATATCCGATGTGGGATTTTGAAAAATATGTTTTTTATATGTATAATTAAATATAAATACGAAAATTAGAGTATGGAAAATTTCTTTGCTAAGGAAACCATAAATCTCGTGATTATTGGTAATAAAATGTTTTTGTTGCTAAAATTCCGAACGCAAATTTAAATAAATTATAAATACTAAGAAAGAAAAACGTAAATTTTAAAGAAAACAAATGGTAAAAATATATGAACAAAATAATTTTTTTTTATATAACTAATAGATTAGAGAGGAATAGTCGTCTATTACCAATGAAAATATATGAACAGAACTAAATAATTTTTATATAACTAATAGGAATATTTCATTTCATCAAAAATTTTAAATAATTTTTTTATCAAATTAAATTTTTGCATTTTCATCATTCGATTTAATTGTGCGGTTTCTCTTTAGAACCGAACTAAAACAAATTAAATGATTAGTTTTGGATGACTATTATATTAGATTTCCTGTTTTTCCCGTTCTTCATCAAATTGTTGTTCTTTTATAGCATTTCCTTGAATCCAAATTCATTTTCATATCATATGTGGGATTTTGACAAACATTCGTTTTTCATATGTTACGTATTTTATGTCTTAGATACAAATTAAGTTTTCTTGGTATCTTTTAAGAAAATTATAATAAATCAGATCCTAAAAATTTTATCAGATTATCTTTAATTTGAATATCCATTTATTCTGTACATATCTTGTTAAGATTAATTTAGGAATAACTATTAATACTTTTGAAATAT